ACGTTAACTTATATTTTGCAGAATTAATATTTACAAATACAGGAATATTGACGGGAATAACATAAACTTTATAAAAAATTCAGCTAACTTCATCTAAGATACTAATCCTCAATCTTTTTGGTTTCAAATTCTCGAGTGCGAACCCCAATCAAACTCATGCTTTGCGCAATCAGACTCACATGGTATAGAATACGTTTTGTCAAAATTATATTGCATTATAGTTTTGTTTATTTTATTTATTTACTATTAATTGATTAATTAAGATGTCTTTCTTAAAAAATATTTTTGGTAAAAGTAAGAATAAGGGAAAATCCAATACTGACGAATCTAGTGGTACTGTTATTCCTCCTCCCCTGCCCCGGCTCCCTGAACCAAACCACATACCCGTCTTACACATGCTATTCTTGATACCGATAATATTTTATTATAATTTAGCTACACTGAATTTTGCCATAATATTGCACCCGGTGAACATTTAGACCATGAATTAATGAATGCTCTCTATTCTAATAATTATAATACTATTTGACACTTCTTGATTAGTTCCTTTTTCTTCTCAATGGTGGTATTAGCACCTTGTTGTGCTCATTCCATTGGGGAGGAAGACTAAGAAATATATTGCCAGATTTTTTATTGCTATGATAAAATTACAAGGCATTATTTTGGATATCTTTTTACAATATTTTTGTCTTTAAATTTGAATTAAAAAATTATGTCACTATTCTATAATAAAATTATAAGGCATTACCTTAGATGTTTTTTTAACATCTTTTTGTCTCTAATTTCTATTTAATTTTTTAAAAAATAATTACTGCTCAGCCGTTGGGAACCGTGGGCCCGGCCTGTTTAGCTTGGGATCATGAGTTCGTGGGCCCAGTCCCGAGCCAGTTCCTACAAAAAACATGTTTAACCCGTGACCGTTTAACCCGTTTATTTAAGAACCGGAACCACGGCCCACGAGACCGGTCCGTTTAGGGCCCAGCCCGGTGTCACTTCCTATATATATTTTACCTCGGTGCAACTTCTTTTTCTTTGCCATTAATTAATTAGTTGTCCTCTATGTTGGACTTAATGCTATTACAGTTTTGGTGGACGTACATGGTTGAATTTGATTGTTATATTTTTTTCTCAACTGGAGAAATTATCATTGTCACAAAATAAGTATTAGAAGTATTTTTTTAATGGTTGTGAGGAAGAAATTCTTATCATCTGGTTGAACAGCAACTTTACAGAAACCCAACAAATAATACAACAAAATAAACCATTCCACGTAAAGAGAATTTAAAATAAATTGTGAATTCACATCATTGATTTGGGTACCTTAAAACTAGTTTATAAAAACAGTTTCAACACTTAAAAGTAATTTTCAATATTGACTCTAAATTTTGAATTTAGCGACACTGAATTTTGCCATAATATTGCACCCGGTGAACATTTAGACCATAAATTAATGAATGCTCTCTATTCTAATAATTATAATACTATTTGACACTTCTTGATTAGTTCCTTTTTCTTCTCAATGGTGGTATTAGCACCTTGTTGTGCTCATTCCATGGGGGGAGGAAGACTAAGAAATATATTGCCATATTTTTTATTGCTATGATAAAATTACAAGGCATTGCTTTGGATATCTTTTTACAATATTTTTGTCTTTAAATTTGAATTAAAAAATTACGTCACTATTCTATAATAAAATTACAAGGCATTGCCTTAGATGTTTTTTAACATCTTTTTGTCTCTAATTTCTATTTAATTTTTTAAAAAACAATTACTGCTTAGCCGTTGGAAACCGTGGGCCCGGCCCGTTTAGCTCGGGATCATGAGTTCGTGGGCCCAGTCCTGTGCCGGTTCCTACAAAAAATATGTTTAGCCCGGGACTGTTTAACCCGTTTATTTAAGAACCGGGACCGACCCGAAACCGCGGCCCACGAGACCGGTCCGTTTAGGGCCCAGCCCGGTGTCACTTCCTATATATATTTTACCTCGGTGCAACTTCTTTTTCTTTGCCATTAATTAATTAGTTGTCCTCTATGTTGGACTTAATGCTATTACAGTTTTGGTGGACGTATATGGTTGAATTTGATTGTTATATTTTTTTCTCAACTGGAGAAATTATCATTGTCACAAAATAAGTATTAGAAGTATTCTTTTAATGGTTGTGAGGAAGAAATTCTTATCATCTGGTTGAACAGCAACTTTACAGAAACCCAACAAAATAAACCATTCCACGTAAAGAGAATTTAAAATAAATTGTAAGTTCACATCATTGTTTTGGTGTACTTGCGCGTACCTTAAAACTAGTTTATAAAAACAGTTTCAACATTTAAAAGTGATTTTCAATACTTATGCTTATCAGCTATTTTAAATCAGTTAAGCCAAACGGGATACTGTGGACCACCGATGATTCACCTCCCTAGAATATATACAATATATACAAACCTAATAATCAAGTAATCCCGTAAATACGTTCACTATACTTGGGGTCACTATAATCACGTTGCAAAATTAGCTAGACATATTATCCAAAACTTATAGGGCTTTACAGAGAATAACATGAATGGTGAAAATGTCCAAACAGCTTTTATAAGAGAAGAAAAAGAAAAAGCATGTGTGGGATCCGGGGAAGGGTCGGACCATAAGAGTCTATTGTACGCATCATTATCTTGCATTTCATGTAACCAAGATTGAAAGTCTTAAATGATGACGCTGAAAGCTCTGTAACTTTGTCATCTTCCTTCTCCTCTCTTCTTCATCCTCTTTCTTTTCTGCTTCGACTTTTGATGTTGCTGCCTCTTCTTCTACCTTCTGTTTTTCTTCTGCTTCTACTTCCGCCGCTACTGCTGCTGCTGCTGCTGCAACCAAGATTGAAAGTCTTAAATGATGACGCTAAAAGTTCTGTAACTTTGTCATCTTCCTCCTCCTCATCCTCTTTCTTTTCTGCTTCTACTTCTGCCACTGCTGCTACTTCTACTTCTGCCGCTGCTGCTTCTACTTCTTCTTCTACTTCTTCCGTTTTCTCTTCCTCTTCATATTCCTCTTCTTTTTCTTTTTGTTCCCTTTTTTTAACAACAATAACAATGTGTTCAGATTAATGTAACATACATAAAATATATACCTATTCTGCAGTTATAACAACAATAACGTAATGAATTAAACTCATAAATTGAGTTAGTTCATCAAGAAAAACATACCGAGAGTAATGTGGAAAAATATAGACCTTGAGGTTGTCACATCCTGTAGTTTCTTCTACTTCTTCCTTAATCTCCAAAGCTGAAGCCTTGAGATTATCATCACAATAGATCACCTTGAGTGATGTAAGCGTTCCAATATCCACAAAACTGTCGGGAATCTTCTCAAGCAATTCAACAGATCTTAGCACTACACTCTCAAGCATGGGAAATGATGATGATTCTGAGACATGCCAATCCCTAAGATGAATGCTTCGAAATTTTAAGATTTTGAGTACCGGGAACTCCATATCTCTCACGTCCCACTCCTCTTGCTCGAATCTACACCCTTCAAATATCAGTCTTTGAAGGTTGGGTAACGCAGCGATTGTGGAAGTTGCACTTGCTTGTATATTAACTTGGCGGAAGATCAGCTCTTTGAGACTTGAAGGTAAATAATACTTGGTGATATCACACATCGAACCAAGCACGAGGGATTGAAGCTGTGTAAGAACATCCAATTTCAGAACGAGAGAGTTAGCTTCATCAATATCATCAGTTATTACGAGGAGAAGCTTTTGAAGATTGGGAAACCTCTCAATTAACTCTATATCCTCACGAGATAAACACATGCCTTTAAATGCCCTTAAATTCTCCAACTTAGACGGACCTTCTTCAGAAACTGCAAATATCTCACGAGGTAAGCNCTTCTTCCTTAATCTCCAAAGCTGAAGCCTTGAGATTATCATCACAATAGATCACCTTGAGTGATGTAAGCGTTCCAATATCCACAAAACTGTCGGGAATCTTCTCAAGCAATTCAACAGATCTTAGCACTACACTCTCAAGCATGGGAAATGATGATGATTCTGAGACATGCCAANAGAAATTATATCGATCAAGTAACCTTCAGCTACCTCCTCCAATCCTCTCTCATCACTACATTGAACGAGGCCTTCGGCCATCCAGAGTAACATCAATTTAGATGCTCCAAATTTTTCATCCTCCCTAAATACTCCCATAGTTAGAAGGCAACGTCTCAAATGATCTGGTAAATAGCAGTAACTTAATTGTATTGCCAAGTTGCTCTCACTTTCAACTGCTCCAAAATGAGACTTTAAATTGTTTGCAACTTCACACCACTCTGAGACATTCCTTTCTTTCTTTGCCAGAATTCCACCAATCAAAACAACTGTAAGAGGCAGTCCTTTACAATATTCAGCAATTTGTACCCCAACATCCTGGAATTCAGGAGGGCAAGTTTCCTTTTGAAATGCTTTTTTCTCCAACAATTTCCAGCTCGCTTCCCTGGTTAGGAATCGAGGGGAATAAGGATCGGTACAGTTCTTGACTTCCATTGCCACATGTTTAAGTCGAGTTGTTAACATGATTCTGCTTCCTTGTTTACCAATTGGAAAACATAATCTTAACTCATCCCATGCCTCGACTTCCCATACATCATCCAAGACAATGAGATATCTTTTGCCCATTAAACACTTGCGCAACATATCGGCTATGTCACTCTCCTTATCTCCATTGTACTTAACACCTGCCACTTGCTTATAGATATTCCTCAACAGCTCTCTCACATCATATGATTGCGAAATTGTAAGCCAAGCTCGAATATCAAAGTGAGAAACAATAGAAGAATCTTTGAATATTTTTTTTGCCAAAGTGGTCTTTCCGAGACCAGGCATGCCAAAAATCGAGACAATATCCCGTTCCCTTATTCCTCTGGTCAGTAGCTTAATTATCTCCTCAGCATCATCCTCAAGCCCCACAGGTTCCTCTTCAGTTACTTGAGTAGTTGGTCTAGGAGTTGGAGCACTCTCATCAATGTTGACATCCTCCATACTAATTAGCTTGATCTATTGATGTCAAAGAGCAGTATGCCTAACATTAGTAAGAGCAACGACATAGATTTGTGAAAAACAATGGGTGCAAACAATCCAGTTAGACTTTGTAAAAGAACCATTTGGAACTCTTAATTCTCTGACATACAACAACAACAAAAAAAAAAAAAAAAAAAAAAAAAAAAAATACCTCATAGATTTGTAAATTGCCTGTAATTACAAAAGAAGAACTCATGGAGTCTTTTCTTCTAATGTTCATTGTTTCTTTAATCATCAATACCTAATGCAAAATTCCCCTTATGTGCGAATTAGATCAAAATATTCCCGTTTCCAGATTCAGATTCCTTTACATAGATCTATAAATTCTCAGTTCAATGGAACATTTATAATTATTATTTATTTCATTCACTATTAATCCAGCTTACTAAAATTTAGAATTCCGCATTGTATGATTTATATTTAAAATTCCCATATATAGCAACATAATTGAAACAACGAATTTACAATCAGTAACAGAAAAAACACTGACCTACAGTTCTTAAGCAATGAATCTTCCGCCTTTCAGGAGCAGAGAGCTTTGTGGTAATGGAAGTTTAGTCAGTGAAGGAAAAGAATGATTCTTATTACACACTAATTAATGAATGAGGCCTACTAACAACTCTGAATTATTGCCAAATATAATATAATATTGCCCACTATGAATTTTAAATTATCAACGCCAGCTAGCTGTATATGTATATACATAAATAATCATATCTTATGTTACATTATTCAATGATTTAGCTGCTGATGAACTCGAGCAAGTGTTTTAGTTTTACGTTGTTGCCCCTGTCATCCAAACTCCAAAGCATTAGAGTTTCACAGTGCACAAGCAGGGGCGGATTTAGAGACCGAGGCGCGGTACAATAATTTTGGTCCAAACTCTATATTTGTCTTAAGAAATATATTTAATATGTTTAAATTATTAATTTAGAACTCAATAACTTAAAAGGACTAAAATTTTCAACCCAAAAATTTCAGATCCTGACTTCGCGTATGTGCACAAAAACAACAACTAGTAGCGGACACACAATTTGTGAGACTAATAGCCTGTTTGAAGCTTTTAAAAATACTTTTTTTTTGTCAAAAATATTTTTGCAAAGTCAAAGTATTCGACCAATCTTTTAGAAAAAAAAAATATATCTTTGAGTGGAAGTAATTACAATTTTTGAGTAGAAGGGAAAAATAATTTCTTGATTATTCTTTGTTGCTTGATCTAGTACTTATGTTATATATTTATACCAGGATGTGGTGGAAGGCCATGACAAAAATGTGGATGAAGTACAGCATGGTGACCATTCTGTGAACAATGAGTTTCCTGTTGATGAGGTAGAGCATGCACCTTCTTAGGATCGGGAATCCGGGTAGTGCGGAATTTAGCCAAACAACGGTATAATGACAATAACAAAGACAATGAAAGTTGATAATAACGGCAATTAAAGAATATAAAGAAGACACAAATTTAACGTGGTTCGGTCAAGGTGACCTACGTCCACAAGCGGAGATGAGCAATTTCACTATACCAACAAGAGTACAAAAGAGAGTACAAAATTAGAGTAAATACTCTAATTAATCCCAAATACCCCAAGAGAATAACCTCACAAGATCACTCCAAAGAAAGGGTTCACACAAGTGTTTCCCAACACTCACTCTCTTACAAAATACTCTATAATGAAATAAAGGAGGAGAAAGAAAGACAAGAGTGAAAAGCTCTTGAATTGGTGTGTTTGCAAATGAGGAGAAACTCCTCTATTTATAGCAAAAAATCCTTGGCCTAATAATGGATATTATGTCATGGCAAATGTCATGATCCACAAATTTGTTATAATGGATATTATGTCATGGCAAATGTCATAAAATTTTAAAACATCCGCCCCTGGGTTTGGGTGTATCCCCAAGGATTCAACAAGCCATTCTGGTATAAAACTAGGAGCATAGACTAACAAAGATTTATTCTTGGTAAAAAATCCAGCAGAAGGAAGGAGAGTATTTTCTGTACACTTAGTATCTACCACACCAAAAAAGAATGTATGTATGTAAAGAATATGTGTATGTATAGGTGAGTGGAATCAAGTTGTTGTATAAGGGGTGGGTAATGGTCCATCGGTTACAAATATAGAATAATAACCCATTATTGTATAAAACAATAAAGACACTAAATGTTCAATAAAATGAATCTCGACAGTTTCAGAAAATATGAATCTTAGACAAAACTCTTCCTTTCGAGATATCATATCTAACACAAAGTAATGAAATACTGATCTTACCCGCCAGATATTTCCATCTTTTCTCTCAACACGAGATTCATTCACTCTATATTCGTGCATAATCCAATTGGTTTTTTCACCTTTCTGAGGTTCACCTTCGTAGAAGGCAAAGGTTCATTCATCACTTTCTTCTTGAGATAATGAACGATGAGTTCATCGTCCCGAGGACAAAAGCGATAGCCCGGTGGAAAAGCAAAAGAATCATAGACGTCTACCTGCAAAAACACGTACGCAGAAACTAGTATTACATGACGAACGAATATTGCATTGATTTTATTGTTCTTGCTCTTGTTTTTTCAATATTAGGGTTTTGATCAGTCCTAGAATTAACATTCCTTGAAATTCGCCTGAATTTGCTTATCAGACTCCATTGTTTTGCTTGAGAAGGACACTCGGAAAGAGTCCAACTTGAAATATATGATCAGGTTTTGTTTCAACAAATTGTTTATATAAAGATTTGGGTTAATCTTTATATAAAATTTAATCCTATCATATCTAAACTACCTGATATGAAATCATTATTTTAAGTGGTGAGGTTAATGGTAATTAAATTTGGTTTTAACTATGTAAAATGAATTTTAACGGTTAAATAATTAGAAAAAGGAGTTTTGAACGAGAAATAATATTTGTTCACTTGCGATACGTTTTACTAAAGCAAGAAGATTTCATGTGGTATGCTTAAAACTTTTTCTTTTAGAGTAGACTAAAAAACTGATGAATGGAAATAAAAATCATGCATAAATAAATATTTGTGAGAAAATGAGAATTACAATATTATGCATAAATAAATATTTGTTGTAGATAAATGGAAATAAAAATATTGATCTATACTAGTGTCCTTTTCAGGTGGCTAATAGTGGATTTTTCTTAGTACTTGTACATGTGTTCGTTTCTTTTTTCCATATGCATGGACAAACTTAAAACTTAAAAAATTAAGTAGTTACTTAATTAATTGATAGAAAGATTGTCTTTTGTCGGTAGAAAAAGAGTTTGATCCTTTCTTATGAGGCTTGCAATATAGCAAGAAAAATGATTTTTTTATTAGACTTTTCTATAGCACGGATAAGTTCTTTACGCTGTTTCATTTTGTACGAAATATTGGGTCCATCCATAAGGGTGCTCTAAGGCCCAAAAGACTATATAAGTTTACTATATAAGTTTACTTAGTGTGTACACAAAAGATTCTAAGCAGTATTGTTCCACACACACACACTCTCTCTCAATCCAAACAAGGATTTAGACTATGGAATTAGGGGTTGCTCCAACACACCGTGATAACCACTGCCGACCAGTAATTTCAGCTGCAGTTCAATCCGTTTTTACTTCCGCTTTACAAAGAACAAGTAAGTTCTCGTTTTACGATTTACAAACTAATCTAATGTGTTTAGATTGACGTGTTTCATTTCCAGCTATAAAGTGATCCTTCTACATTTAGTGAAAGTGACCAAATGGATCTTGTTCCAAGTGGGAGCGAGATGGTCACAGATCTTGTTCCAAGTGGGAGCAGGGTGAATGATCTTGATCCGAGTGGGAGCAACATTGATCCAAATAGGAACAATGATGAATCACAAATAAGATGTGGTTCTTGTAAAAAGATTCCCCGCCGACGATTGGATGTTGAAGGTGGCGAACTATTTATGATGCTCCTACAAGAAGAAAACGAGCCTAAAAATGTAAAAGAGACTCTCATGCCCTTCTAAGGATAAATGGACAAAAGCAATGGAAGACGAATTGGAGTCTATGAGAGTCAACAAAGTTTGGGAACTAGTTGACCTCCCTAAAGGACGCAAAGCAATTGGGAGCAAATGGGTTCTCAAAATTAAGCTCAAGGCTGATGGCACAGTTGAGAGATATAAGGCTCGACTGGTGGCGAAAGGGTATACACAGCAGAAAGGAATAGACTACGAAGAGACTTTCTCTCCTGCTGTACGATTTACCTCAGTTTGCCTGGTTCTAGCTATTGTTGCAAACTTGGATCGTGAATTACATCAGATGGATGTAAAGACTACCTTTCTCAATGGAGAGCTAGATGAAGAAATCTATATAGAACAACCTGAGTGTTTCATTGAAAAGGGCCAAGAACAAAAGGTTTGTAGACTTTTGAAGTCAATTTATGACCTCAAACAATCTTCAAGGCAGTGGTATATACGCTTTCAGAATGTTCTTGTATCCAATGGTTTTACCATGATGGATGAAGACCATTGCGTTTATACCAAGAGATCAAGAAACAAGTGTGATTTTAACATTGCATGTAGATGACATACTTATAGCTGGAAATGATAAGGAGTTTATAACCGAGATAAAGTCATGGTTATTATCTCAATTTGAGATGAAAGATATGGGCGGAGCTGCATATATTCTTGGAGTTAAGATTTCAAGAGATCGTCCAAAGAAACTATTGTATCTCTCACAAGAGAATTATATTAGAAAAGTTCTTGAACGATTGAATATGCAAAATAGTAGCCCAGTTGAAACTCCTATCAGTAAAGGCCACACCTTGGGAAGTCAGATGTGTCCTAAGACTCCTGAAGAGACAGAAAGAATGAGCCGAGTTCCTTATAGGAGCGCAGGAGGAAAAATACTGCTTAGAGTCTTCTTTTTGTGTACACACTAAGTGTACTTATATAGAGAATATTAGGGTTAACTAATAACCCTATTTGGCCTTAGAGCACCCCTTATGGGTGGACCCAATATTTCTTATATGATGGAATATGTTAATCTAAACACATTAGATTAGTTTGTAAATTGTAAAATGCGAACTTACTTGTTCTTTGTAAAGCGGAAGCGAAAACAGATTGAACCGCGGCTGGAATTACTGGTCGATGGTGGTTGTCACGGTGTGTTGGAGCAAATTTTAAGACTATATCAAATGTGATTTATATGATTTAGGGTACAGCATACTTTATGATCTACTTGAAGGTTTGCGCTCTACGAGAGGCTATATACTCCTAACAGATGTATAGCACTTAGCTCTCACAGTATGTTGGTCGCACGGTCTACTTCCCTGTATGAATGATTGAGGAGATAGAGTTGAGAATATGTTTCTCAGACTAGATGAGCACTCCCATTATGTGTGAGTGGAAGATGTAGGAAATATTGGGTCCACCCATAAGGGGTGCTCTAAGGCCCAATAGGGTTACTAGTTAACCCTAATATTTTCTATATAAGTACACTTAGTGTGTACACAAAAAAAAGTCTCTAAGCAGTATTTTTCCCCGCGTTCTTTTTCTCTCTCAATCCAAACAAGGGTTTAGACTGTGAAATTGGTATATCATTATTTCTTGTATTCATAATCATAACTCATAAGCTATAATTGGTACACCAG